CGCTATGGACCTTAGACACATATTTCACGGATACTGAGCTGACCGGCACAGCCTGCTCATGCAAACTGAACTGACCGGTACAATGTACAGTGAACTTCGAATTACACTTTGCTAACTTCGAATTATCAGCACAAATCCCACACATTTTCCATGTAAGTGGAATCTGTGGGACTTCTAATGAACCGGACATATCCAGTTCAAGGTTCGAATTATCAGAAAAGTTTATGTTGGAATCGTATCGATAGAAATCGGTCCTGGAAAAACTTCTAATTAAAGGGGAAGTTAAGGCAAAAATTAAAATTTCACCAGTTGTAACTTAGTCTTCAGGGTGCTGAGTCGAATGGTCGTGGTCTGAGGAAGCTGAGACGCTCCCTTCCTACTTGAATCCCAATCGAACTCGCGCACTTCCACCGAAACTGGGTGACTGCGCCCTACTAGATGGGGATTTGTATGCAAAATGTCACTAAAAGCGCCATTTCGTTCTTATAAAAGCACGGATGACCGCGATTGGCCCATATGTTGTAGTCTTTTGGACGCTGAGTCGACTGGTTTTGGTCCAAAAGGCTGCGATGCAGCGTTCCTTCTTTATTCCCAATCGAACATGGTTGAACAAGTGGTCACGTGCTTCTGCGTACGCCAGTCACCTGGTCACCGTGCCTGCAGGGTACAACTTACTAGCCTGTTTGAACTTTTTTGGGTGCAGTCCTGTCACTCGAGTTGAATCTTGGTGTGAAAGTTGTCGCCTGCTGGCGTGGTGACCAGGTGATTTGGGCACCCAGGAGCACGTGACCGCTTGTTCAACCATGTTCGATTGGGAATAAAGGAGGAACGCTGCATCGCAGCCTTTTCGGACCAAAACCAATCATAGCTTTAGTTATACCGAGAGGGCTGCGCTTGCGCAGGGTGTGGTTCTCTCAATGGCAGTGTTGCAATGTGGTGAAGAGAAAATATTCAAATTTGTTTATTTCTAGAAAGCATGGAACACTTTTTACGAGACATGTCCTGGGTGGTAGTGGACACAGTTAACTGTCCTGCAGTGCATGGTTCAGAAAAATAGACGCCGTTAATGGTTCCCGCTATGGCCCTTGAAGTTTGGCTATCTTAGCGATGCAATTTAGTGATATTTGGAGATGATGGCCATTGCTTTCCTGGATATAGACATGGCTCTATGTGGTGGTGATGTGAAGATTACTCAGGTGAGGTAATAATGGCATGGTGGTGGTTTGTTCTGAGCTCAATCGTGTACGATGTAACAGCTCTCGTTTTTGGACCCAATATTCAGTCGTATTTTGGGCCTATTTAGAGGTGGTCCCCAGTTCCAAGGTGTCCGTCAGTTATGCAACGAGTCCTTTTGCATGGTTGTTGTAGACCCCAAAGGAAACCTACTTGCAAAATTTGAGCGAAATCGGAGTTATGGCCAAGCCCAGCTTTTCTGGATTTCTCAGACATGCTCTCTTAAGCGCGTCCTCATTATTGCGATATTAAAATTGTTGCCTCCTTGCCGAATATCAGAAATTCTTACCACTGTTTCTTAGTAGGGCTGAAACGATATGATCGTTAACCGTTTGCTAATCGCTAAGGAAATTATCGTTATATCGTTAGCTGTCACTAACGATATAACAATACTACTGAACAATGTACATGTAGGTGCACGTGTGTGAGGTGCCAGAACGCGATTAATTAACAGTGCTGTGAGTGCTGCAGCACTGTGCTACTGTGTGTACGGGGTCCAAACCACGCTGTGCACTGGCATGGCACATGTCCACTATATATACTACTACATTGTACACTGGTGGTAGACAGTTACTGTAGAGTTTGTGCGTACACTGATCCAGCAAGCGCGCGTACTACATCATGTACACTACTACTAGCTCTGTCCAGCCGCGTTCGGCTATGACAGTTTGGACTGAAGTCAGTTACAGCTGCTGATGCGTACCGGTGCTTGAACTTGAAAGTGGCTGTGGTGAACTGTTACTGTCGTTGTTTTTTGTCGGGAAGAAAGTCACAGTGTGTCCCAAGGTTGTATTTTCTGTCTTTGGGCAGGACAAGGTTACGCGAGGTAGCGGCAGAAGGGATGTCGGCAAAAGTTCCTAGAACAAAACGGTAGCCAGTACAGGCATATTTCGTAGAGGTTGGTGGATCGGTAAAGTGTAATTTGTGCAGTCAAACGCTCGTGCGAACAAGTGGCACAACGAACTTGTTCTAGCACTTGAAAACACATCATAAGGAGTAGCATGCTCTTATTGCTGGAGGTAAAACACCAGAGGTGTCAGCAACTACCTCTTGCGGAACGAAGTCTGTCTCGTCGGTTTTTTTTTCAGCAAGCTCAGCCAGGACCTGAGATTCGAGCCGTGCTGGTGTGATCACAGAACACATCCTCGACTGGGTTTTTGGTTCACTGCGACCACTATCTGTCGTAGCCGACGTTGAGTTTGTCGAACTCCTGAAGTTGCTGGAGACCGAATACAAGATTCCGTCGCGGACGCATCTCGCCAAGCTACTCGACAAGCGGCATTCGCTCTGGAAGTCCGAGTTGAAGGCGTTGATTCGGTCCGACGGCATGGCGGGCGTTTCTTTGACAACTGATGGCTGGACGTCCACAGTGACGCAGTCATTCGTCACGCACACTGTTCACTTCGTCAACGGCAAATGGACGTTGGTGAATGGTGTGCTTGAAACAGCAATATTCAGTGAAAGCCACACTGCGGAGAAGCTGGCTCTTCGTGCGCAATATGTGGTACGCAGATTCGGCATCAAGGTGGAGCAGCTAGTTGCCCTCAGCCATGATGAGGTCCGGAATATGGTGGCTGCGAGTCGTATCCTGGCTGCAGAGAACGGGTGGGAGAGTAACGTCTGCATTGGTTACCGCCTTCAGGCTGCAATTCGGTATGCCCTTGACTTGGATGTCGTAGCGAAATTGCTGTCCCGGTGAAGAAAGCTTGTTGGGCATTTCAAGCACTCCTGTCTGGCTGCGGAAGCGCTGGAAAGCAAGCAGCGCCAGCTGAATGCTGATGCACAGCCACTGAAGGTAATCCAGGACATGCTGTAGTGTCTGCTGCACTTGACCCGCGTTTCCGGTGCCTCCAGTTTCTGGATGACGATAAAGCATCTGCAGCAAAAGATCACGTGAAGTCATTGCTTGCAGAGAGTGCGGCCGTGACCAGCGCAAGTGAGCCACCTCGCAAGAAGGCATGCACGCCGTCTCGTGAACTGTCTCGCCTGTTTGGTCGCAGTCAACCAAGCAAAGACGTCCCATCCACCACCAATGATGATGCTGAAACTCAGCTCAGAGACAGGGAAGTGTAGTTGTTCTTCGTGGAAGATGATCTGGATGTAGATGACAGGCCCCTGGAGTGGTGGAGAAAGAATAAGCACCGCTTTCCTGGTGTCTCCACTCTCGCCAGGAGATACCTCTCTGTGCCCACGACGTCAGTGCCATCTGAGAGAATCTTCTCTGCTGCTGGTTGGCTGGTGACCAATCTCCGCAATGGCTTGTCCCCTGCTCACATCGACGCGTCCATCTTCCTGTCCATCAACAGCGTATTGCCTGGGGCTCGCTACCAGAATACTAGCTCAGGATCGAATTCATTGAGCTTGGCCGAGGAGCTGGAGGAAGAGGAACTGAGTCTTCCGGAGTTGCCATCACTGTCTGCAGAGTGACGATGACGAGTACGATAAGTTCTCAGGACAAGAGTCAGAAATCAGAATGCACTGTTTGGTTATCCTGACTTATCCATGAATTCAATATGGTTATATTGTTTAAGTAAACAGCTTCCTCTGAGACAAAAATGCGATAATACTCATAAAAAGAAGGCTTGAAAGTATGCTTGTCAAGACAAAAACTTTCAAGATGTTTGTAACAAGCCTGAAGTGTGTCCTTTTTATGAGTGTCATATCGTTTGTTAAGCTATACGTGTTATCGTAAAGCAGCTTTTGAATATCCTTTCAGCCCTATTTCTCAGTATTCCTTTCTAGGAACATACAGTATTATTATATTCCCTAAATCTAGTTTAACCCTTTGAAGCCCGCTGGGTTTTCTGATTTCCCGGGCACTCGCACAGCGCTGCACGCAACCACGGATGGTCGATTTCAAAATTTCATAATTTACTCACCAGCAATTAGCCCTTTCCCAAAGGTGCTCGCCTTTTTCCCCCTTTTTGGCCTTTTTGGAAAAGCCCGTTTCTTTCGCCCTTTATTGCGTTTTTATGTGAATATCGCCCTTTTTGAGCTTTTTTCGGTGATAAAGTGCTAAAATCTGTTTGCTCATGCGTGCAATCACAGTTTCCGAGTGCTCGATGGGCGCCCCGGGCCTTGGTACGCCGCTTTTTTTTTGGGGGGGGGCAACAAGTTGGTGAAGCTTGTACCCGGTGTACAATGCTGTAAAAGGTGGGTTTTTTGAACTTTACTTCCTGTTTTGCCCTTCGTGGACCCATAAATGGAAGAGTGCGTATTCATTTCTCAGCTTGGGTTCATATCTGAACATGTATCATGGCTATGCTTCACTGAAAAAAGAGCACTTTTTGCCTGTTTTCACTGAAAAAAGAGTACTTTTTAAGCATATTTTGAGGGACGCGAAAAGCTCTAAGTGCGAATTAAAAAAGCACCTTTGGGAAAGGGCTACCAGCAATGGAGTTTCATTATCTGGAGCTCCCTGAAAAGCTTGTGATCGTCTCCATCCAAAGATAAAGACTAGACATCTTCAAATGCAGAGAATTTGAATACTAATCACACGTGACGTCATCAAAACCATCAAAAGAGGAGACAAACTTGGCCCTCCCTGGCTTTATATATCGACTTTTTGGGTTTAGTTTTCGCAAATCCCCATTCCTTGGGGGCCAAATAAGGCCCCCATGAAGAGAACGCTACACCGAAAACATTCCCGGAGTGCTCCATTAAATATTTGGTAGACAATTGAACTGGATTAATTCAAGCAGGCCACTGAAAAGTTTCCAAAATGGAAGAAACCCTATGATAAAGGCAGTGTGTATACTGTGTAGTACCTGAGTCAAAACTGCATTGCTCTCCTCCATTGCTGCGATCATCTCATTTTTCAAGTCAAGTACAGACTGTGTTGAATCTTGACGAACGGCATCAAGTTCACCTTTAGTTGCAACAGACTTCAACTGCTCTTCATGCTGTGGTGAAAAGAAGCAATTCACATTATGGGCCACAATCAGCTCCTCCAGAAAACAGTTTGCTGGGACCTTACATGACCTCTTTAAGGTGGTACAGGGCACCAAAGTAGTCTAACAGTCACCAAAGCACCGTTTTTAAAATATATACTTTGAAATAGAAAATGACAGTTTTCGCACAGTCTGACACACAGACAAACTTAGTGGCTTTTGTGGAGGAGCACAATACGAAGGAACTAAAGTTGATGACACAGACTTGAGCATGTCAACGACATCAGTTCCAAGTCATGGACCAAGTTCTTCCTGGAAAGCACCATGATCCACTCGGTGGCGTTGCACTTGCATACTCTTTCGATTCTGGCAGTGACATCTTTGGTTGTCACCTGCGCTTCCGAGGGTGTGTCAGACGACGACTGTTGAGAGCTGAACGGCACATAACGTCGTAAAGCAGTTCGTGCTCTAATGTACTCGCCCGCAACTTGTGCCTCTTAGCCTACTGTGGACGACGGGGGAGATTCAGCTTCGCTGTCGACATCAATATCTCTGAGATCCCCAAAATTTGTCATCATCGCTCTGCAGACCCGCCGCCACGGACTTGCTGACACCTGACCAAACCGGCGCCATGCACAGCAATGATCTGGCCCTGCGAGCAGCCATAGTATCACTAGATGCAGACATTGACTTGTATTTGCGAGTGGGCTAATTCAACTATTTTTTAGACCGCCAAACAAGTAGTTGAACAATATTTTAAAAGATGGTCGCCGTCCACCGCTCGTCCCGGTTCATGACTGAAGCGCAGCGTGAACACACTCGACAAAATATTTTGTCATTCCGTCGTTTCTCAACTTTTTTTCAAAACGCAAAGACATGTTTAGCCGATCGCGGCCCAAATGCATACACACGCACGTGCACACAAACACGCACAGAGACACACACACACAAACACACACAAACACACACACACTAACACAACTAACTACAAATACTGCACCCAAACCCAGGCTTTTACAACTCCTTTCTCCACCTCTCTCCTCTTACCTCCTTTCTCTCTCATCTGCTTCTTTTGTCCCATTCTTCCCTCTTTCTCTCTATCCCCGTATCTCCTTTCTCTCTCACTTGCTTCTTTGGTCCCATTCTTTCCTCTTTCTTTCTATCCCCTTATCTCCTTTGCCCGCCGTCTCAGTGGCTCAGGTAGAATTATGACACTTTTCTGGTGCCGCAGTACTTCAAGATCAGCGCTGCAACTCGCCATCGTGATAATGCGGCTTACGTCATGTTACCAAGGAAAACATGGCGTTTGGCCGTGTTCACCGCACTCGAGCGCTCAGCTTTTTTTCAAAACATTGTTTTGAAAAATACTTCCAGTCTCTTGCAGCACTTGGATTGGAGGCCAGTCACATCGAGTATGTTTATCATGGCCATTGTCTTGTGTCGTTTTGAGTTCAAATAGCTTTCTCTGATGAAGGATTCAAAATATCATGACATTCTCTTTTATCGTGGGCATGAAGCTCCCCACTCGCAGTGGGGATGACAACGGACGGAATAAATGTGTTGAGTCGCGAGCAGGAGTTCTGCTGACAAACGTGATTAGCTCGGCGCGACTTGAGGCACGTGAGGACTCCAGTTCTAGTCGGGCAATACCCCATGGACACATCTAGCTCGAAGTGCAGAGTCGATTGAGCAAAAATTACCAAGATCACAAAAAAGGCTTGTTTGCTTCCACAAAATGTTTTAGTAGCCGAGTCCATGCACTGAAAACTGCATTTGTTTTGTTTCTGTACATACGTGTAAAGACAGTACATCAGTACATAGTGCACTTGCATTGCAAGTCACAACGACACGGGCACAGACAAAAGATTTCAAACAGCAGGGCGTCACCGGACCCCTTCACAGGGGGGTGCACAGGAATTTGTACTCCTGGTTGTAGGGATCACGTCTTGAAAGGATTTGTGATTTTGATGTTGTTATTTTCTTGTCTTTCTCTGTGATTTGTCATTTATCTTTCTTTTTCTTTTCTTTTTTGTCTTGTTCAACTTCTGCCCATGGCGTCCTTCTTGGCAGCGAGCACCTTCTCATAACAGTTGTCATGGTGATGACTATGTTACAGCTGACGAGCTGAGTGAAGTGCCATGGGCAGAAGTTGAAAAAAGGCAAAAAAGAAAAGAACAAAAGAAAAAAGAAAGATATATGACAAATCACAGAGAAAGACAAGAAAATAAGTAAATAACAACGCGACGTGAGAAAAACAGGAAACAATTTGCACAGGAATTTTGCCCGGTGATGATAGCATGGCATCAATAACAAACTCGAAAGCATAATTACATTAATATTAATAGCATTGCAGCATACAATAATAATGTGTGGACCATTTAAGGGTCCGGCGGATTCTGCCGGCAGAAAAATTGGCAGAACTCGGTATTTTTTCTGGTAAGGTTCATGCATGTTTGGTATGTGGATAAAAAAATGGAGCAGAATTCGAGGAATTGCCCGCCATAAGGTTTGTATGGTTCTGCCGATTTCACTGCTTTTCGAGCAGAATCTGCCACCTTTTCGAGCAGAATCCGCCGGTCCCTAGACCATTTGGAATTCTCCAAATCAAAATCCTCAGCAGCGGCAATGTCGTTGTCAACCTGGACAACCGGTTCCTCTTCAACCTGGACAACAGGTTTCGCTTCAACAGGACTGCGTGCCGGTTCTTCGTCAAGTCCCTAATCGTCCGATTCCCCTGGCCCAGCTGCAACAGGAAGGGCTTCGTCGCCTTGCCTCACTTCAGGGTTCGCATTCCTCCGAAAAAGTTCGCTGATAGTGAGCTGGCCAGACGCTTTCCTTTTTCGAGAAGATGGCATTTTGAGAGGAAACAACTCCAAAGACTCTTCAAGTGTGGTGACCTGACTAACTTACTTGCGACCACACTGAATTATTTATTTCTTCTGTTTCAAACAAACACCTAGCACGCCGCGTGCATGCAGTTTATTAGTAGATTATACCAGCACTACACTTTTCATAACCAGGAGTTCACAAAAAAACAGGGTCAAATTTTTTAGGGGGGTGCACGTGCCCCGTGCCCCTCACGGGTGACGCCCCTGCAAACAGTGATGCGTACACACTCACAGTTGTGACCAGCGTGACCGCGCGTGGGAGTCAAGTGCCCTACTCAAGTGCATGCATGCTTGGCTCGCGTGCATGCTCGGTAGATCTGCAGCTAGTGTGATGCACTGCATGTACAGTGCAGCATGCATTCAAGTAGTTTCACGGTCATTTTTGTATAGAAGACAATGTCGGCTATTTTGAAACAGCAATGACAGCTTCATCCACAAACGCTGGGCGTGGGGAATGTCTTTGGCGAATGAGAGCTGTTGCATTGGCTAGCTGTACATCCCAGCAAGTGGGAATGTGCTGGATATCGATACTAAACACCCGTTCATCGTGGTGGTGAGTCTGAGCAGACCCCGAGGTACGACAGCTTTGTATGTTAAATGTGTACAGTGCGTATGGTGAAACAAGTCAACACTGGTTTCCAGCGAAATGTTGTTATCTATGTACAATATCCACCAATATACTTTATCTAGGGCCCAAAGGCTATCCAATTCACAAGGATTGGTGGCCTCACTATTTTTCGTTATCTCCGTGTTTTGGGTTGAAATCTGAACATAAAAAGTAGCACTGATGACGTCATTCTGATCATAATTGAAATTTAATACATGTATAGGAAATATATGACGACTAACCCAATGTATCGACACAGAAAATTTGGTTGAAAAATATTAATGTTTGCCAAAGTTATTACCAACACAGTTGGAATCCTGATAATTCGAACCTCAAAATGCCAGGAAAAAACTTCTAATTATCCGGACATTCTATTTATCTAAACATGAACCCACAACACAAAATGTATGTCAAAACGCTCAATGGTCACGCATAGTTGCGCTATGGACCTTAGACACATATTTCACGGATACTGAGCTGACCGGCACAGCCTGCTCATGCAAACTGAACTGACCAGTACAGTGTACAGTGAACTTCGAATTACACTTTGCTAACTTCCAATTATCAGCACAAATCCCACACATTTTCCATGTAAGTGGAATCTGTGGGACTTCTAATGAACCGGACATATCCAGTTCAAGGTTCGAATTATCAGAAAAGTTTATGTTGGAATCGTATTGATAGAAATCGGTCCTGGAAAAACTTCTAATTAAGCGGTATGTTCGAATTAAGCCATATTCGAATTATCAGGATTCCACCTGTACAAGTTTTGTACACACATGATCACCTTATTATACCTGAGTAAGAGCCCCTCTTGGATAGCCATGCTGGGACCCACAGTTATTTGGGAACTTGTGGCCTGGCACGAGGGAAGAATGGACTCTGCAAAAGGGATATTCGTGCTTTGACCCCTTAGGTGGTGGGTCTGATTTTCTTACCGCCGACCACTTTAGCAGTTGCCTCTGTGTCTTGATCCTTGGGGGTGGTGGCGTTCCTATGGATATGGAAAACTTGGCATCCAGCCGAGTCTCACATGAACCGTGTTTTTGGAACAGTACCACCTAAACATTTTTTTACTTGGCAGTGCTGCGTAAGCCAGGCGTGAATTACACCCAGAAGTACGGCACTACAATCTCTCTATTTCAACCCGGGTCAAGCGCCGTGCGTCGTGTACACAATCCAGTCAATCTGTGTTCGTTGTGGGTTGAAATCTGCCTGGGTCGAAATTAACCCGGGTTTAAAACTCTCAGGTCAACGCAGCTATAGAAACCCCCATGTTCTGAGTGAGTACTGGAGTGTTCCATTCCAGTACCCTGCTTACTTTCTCCTTTACTTGGTCTCCCTCTCCTGCCCCCTCCCCTTGTTCCCTTGCCCCCCCCCCCCCTTGCACCCATTGCCCCCTTGCTCCCCTTGCCCCCCCCCCTTGCTCCCTTTGCCCTCACCTTGCCGCCTTGCTCCCCCTGCACCCATTGCCTCTTGCCCCCTTGCCCTACCTTGCCCCCTCCCCATATGCCTTCCTCGCCCCATCTGTATCTGTATCTGGAAGGACCCCCTTTCTTCTCTTCCCCGCTATGTCAGCGTCGCTTCTCCCAATTACCCAACTTTAAGAACATCAAGTGTGGTACTGCTCCAATGTGGCAAGTTGCAGTGAGTTGCAGTGAAAGACATCCTCGAGTTAAACAGTGTCATTTCTGCCCACTGTACCCACCAGTTTCTGAACAGATCTGCTAAGTCTGGTACTCTCCGTGCGAACTACAGTCACGTCCTTCTTGCAAGCAGCTTGGCTTTTCTGTAGGTCAAGAAATAGAATAGGAATGCAAGAAACAAATTGACAATTACTATGAAACTCAACTGCTGAGTAAATCATTAATAATTAAAGATATCAAAATCGAACATTTCGACGTCACCATGATACTGCTGTATAATCTTGTGAGAGAAAAGAACAGACAGTACATGGCAATAAATCAATGGATGTGGTCGAATGTCGCTGGTCATAAAACAAATCTGAACTTTGATAAATCTTCAGGAAAAGAATACTTCTATGAATGCCGAGAGTAAACTACGTCTCTTCACCGGATGTAGACGAGTAGCTTACACCTTGTGACAAGTTCATCACAAAGTGACAGAAGGGGTGTTTGCAGGTTTACAACAGTGTCCACCTTTCCTGATGTTTAGTAGGACTGTCTGTGTACAACTTCAGCATGCACGCATGACACACATCACTGGAGGAAATGACAGCTATGCTGCAGCAGATGCCATGGCAAATTGTGCTGGAATAGCACAATTCAACAGCTAGAAAGTCTGAAGAACTGACCATCACCACTCAGTCTGGTCTACACCTCAAAGCCATTCAATATGGGGTGTTTTCAGGGCAGTGAATCCCTTCTTGTTGGTCTTCATTTCCACACTGCACATCAAACTACATACTAAGGAATGCACTGGTTGTTGCTAATCACCCAGGAGAGAATGAAAGGAACGTTAAAGAGAGACTAAGAAAGAAAAGATAGATGTGCACGACCATAATCATCGGGGATTGAACCCGCAGCCTCTCGACTGGAAATCGACTGCACACACAAACACACATGCACACACTCAAGCATGTAGACAAACACATTCACACACACACACACACACACACACACACACACACACACACACCAGTGGCGTGTCCAGGATTTGGCTGAGGGGGGGGGGGGGGGGGTTGCGGCCGGGATCAAGGCGGGATGGGGTGGGGGTAGATGACATCATGCTACTGTCCCAGGTCAGCCATTTTGAAAACCAATGTCAAGAAGCTCCTCCTGTAGCCCCTTCTTCAGCAGTTATTCACCCGAACCGCCCCAGAGACTGTTCCGGAGGATCAGCGCACCACACGGGGACAAGTGTCGAACTTGCTTCAAGTTCCCTTTCTCTGTGGGCCTGCGGTACGATCGAGCATGATGTTTTGGGGAAGCATTCTCTGGAACGCTCTCCCCTCTGATTTTAGAGTGATACGTGTCCCTGGTCCCTTCCGTAAAGCTCTTTCTGCCATTGATATACTTACTTTGTCCTCGTTAAACTTTTATTATCTGCCATAAATTCCAACCTTCTCATCTATCAATTATTTGTGCATGTATGTCTATAAAATCAACCACGTGTTCCTGACTCCATGAGATTGTCTTTCTATTCTTTGACTCCATGAAATTATTATCTTTCTATTTCTGACTCCATGAAATTGTTCTTGATATAAATTTTCCCTTTCTTCTTTTGGTCCTTTCTGTCTTATAAGTTATATTATTATTATCAAATAATCTACGTGGAGATAAAAGTTTATTAATAGCAATGAAAAGTATGAATGCCGCAGACATCACCACGCAACATGACAATTTGTTCAAGGTTTGGTTTTGTGTGTTTCCAAAATCGATTTTCACGTTCCGATCATCAGTGGAAATACGGAACTAAAGAGATCAAGGGAAAAACAAAGGTTAAAAATCCAAAGAAGTGTGACACATGACGGGTAACTTGTGGTAAGTATTACAAAAAGTCAGAACTAAAATAAAGAGTAAGTCCTTGAAGCTGTTTGTATTCGTACGCATAAGCCCGATTTGTGTAAGCAAAAAGAACATGTTTTAGCACTTAGGTTATTTTCGTGAGTTTGCACCCCGTGTTCATGAGTTGTTTCTGCACTGTTCATGCCCGTTTGTCACACTTACTCTTTATTTTAGTTCTCACTTTTTGTAATACTTACCACAAGTTACCCGTCATGTGTCACACTTCTTTGGATTTTTAACCTTTGTTTTTCCCTTGATCTCTTTAGTTCCGTATTTTCACTGATGATCGGAACGTGAAAATCGATTTTGGAAACACACAAAATCAAACCTTGAACAAATTGTCATGTTGCGTGGTGATGTCTGCGGCATTCATACTTTTCATTGCTATTATTATTAATATTATCATTTCTTGTTTTCCCTTGCATATCATCCCTTCATCATTCTGTGAGAACCTGTCCTATGGGCAGGTGAGAAGGCATCTCTGCCTGTTCATTTGGTGAAGTAAAACAAACAACAACAACAACAACAACAACAACAACAAGCCGTAAATCTCACACACCAGGAGCAGTATTTCTGTACACGCAGCAACAAATGTACATTGTAAACTTCAAATTTGACGTTATGTGAGCGAATCAACTGCTTTTTTCTTTTGTTTTAACATGCGAGTCCAAAAATTTCTCACCGCTCTCAAAGCATCCTTTACATAGGCAGCGGTACTTGTCACTGTGCGCTGTTCTTTATGTTCTGGCTGCTCGCTGACAACAGGTTCTTCCACGTCTGGCGGAGTTTGACTGTCAGTCCGCTCCGAAAGTTCAACTGGATTGTCTGGAATAACAGCGACTTCATCACTCCCATTGTTTCCTGTTGGAGCGGCAGCAGGAGTTGCGCCGCCACAGGAACGCTTTACAAAAGTTCCAGGCTCTGCTGGCTAGAGCTTGGCCTTTTGGGATGTCCCTGATACATCAAAGAAAAGCCTTCGAGTCAACCAAAACACGATTAGAACGAGGATGATCGCCTGAGTCCTCGGCATTCGAATCGTGTTTTGGTTGACTCGATCGAAGACTTTTCTTCGATGTTTGTACCGTTGAAGACGCGTCGAGCGCGTCCCAGCAGGGATCACACTGTACAACAGTACACAGTCAGGTCACCGTGTTTCTGTAGCCGTGCATGCTCACTGTACGTAGACTCTACGCTAGCTCTGTAGACTGTACAGTGTACTGTACTAGTCTGTAGTGTGTACAAACACCAGCTCGAGCACCGCACCGTGCAACCGCTTTTGGACAATCGTTTCAGGCCGCGCGCGCCCCGAGCCTAGTCTAGCTCGACCCGGCGCGCGCCCTGTATTATTTTTCGAAACCTAGGTGGAAATTTTTGAGGGGGGGGGGGCGCTCGCCACCCCCCCCCCCCCCCCCCCCCCCCCCCCGCCCCCCCCCCCCCTCCTAAACCCGCCACTGCACACACACACACACACACACACATACACACACGTGTACATACCCCTACGAAGTATACATACGTACACGTATGCAGAGATGGAGTATAACCAGATCAAATCAACACACTCTCAACTAACCTGCATTGCATCCACATCATGCTGAACCTTCTCTACTTCCGTCTTCAGTTGGTCAATGACCCCGGTTTGCTGTTCAGCTGTTTGTAAGTCCTGGTGAAGTAGCGCATGTTGCTTGTAGTGACGGGAAATCTAATACAATGCAACACAATAGCAATTGCAAGCTACGAAGTAAGTAGGTATTGGTCACAGAACAATGTTATAATATCTATCCCTTCTCATACACTCACACACACACACACATACACACACACACACACACACACGTGCGCGCGCGCGCGTGCGCACACACACACAAGCTACCTGGACCCACCCTTGCATCACTGGCCAACACTCTTCCTGCTACCCCCCTCCCCCCCCTCCCCCCCCCCCCACCGCCCACACATGACTTGCCAAAAATCCCCCTTATCCCCCCCCCCCCCCCACACACACACACACTCCTCCCCACAAACACACACGGAGGACTTGCCTATAACCCCCCGCCCCAAGCATACATCACTTCCCAACACTACCCTTCCTTCACCCATTTGAATCGCCGCAGACCTCTCCATACATTGAGTGAAGACTGTGCAATATCCGACTGAAGAGATGAAATCGCGAAAGTTGCTCATCGTGAATCAGCCCAATCTATGAAAAGTTGTATTTCTCGCCGGCCCAGCGCAGCGAGATAGGCGAGAAATGATTTCTCGCGAAATATTTTCAGTTGCAAATATGGCATCTGGTGTGTTCTTTATTGTCGCTTCTTTTCCTGACTTCTTCAGTCAGTTTTGAGTCTCACCAGTGTCCCTGCCCTCCCACCCTCCATTTCTGTGCATATTATCATTGCTTTTATAATTATCACTTTTTGCCGTGATGTGCTTGCCATGCCTACATGACGCCTAATCGCCATTGGGGATATACACCCGGTTTTTTTCCTCACAACTTCATCCGTCGGGGCGAGGGTTTTTTCCCGGCTGGCTCGGTCTAGAAAAATTAATCTGACGGTCCCAAGTGGTTCTGCATCATGGCCTATTTCTGCTATCCACTGGCACGCCTATTCTATCTCAGTATTATCTGAGACACTCTGTTCTCAGTCCTTGCTTCCCTACCTCACTTGTTATCCAGTTCACATCTAGCTGCGGCCAACTACCCTTCACTTTGTGTAGTGTCGCTATTGCTGTCTATGTCTCTGTGTGTGCCAGTATATGTGGAGTGAGAACGCTAAATTTGCGCGGCGCGAACGTTTGTCCCCTTGCAGTACTTTTCAATAATCCCCTCCCCCCCCCCCTTACAGGTGATGGTGCCTGGTCCCCCCCCCCCCCCCCAAATACGCAATAGTTCAGCATTGCTGAAGTGGGCATCCCACATCTGCCGTCTTGACACGCCAAGGATGGAGCGGACACAGCGCATATGGAAGGTGGATATGCGTTGCAAGTCGCCCTGAAGGGGACCGAGCACTCCGAACCATATAATGGCAAGGACATGACACACGCGTTGAAAACCCACCTATTCACGAAGACAGGAAGCTGACCATAGGAAAATACAGGGCGCTGCAAAGCACCACAGGCCTTGGAGGCACTCGCGATGCAGACATTGACGTCCACTGCCGAACGACTGTTGGTGGCAATAATGGAACCCAGATACCTGAATTCAAGCACATTATTGATCTCAACATCCGCCAGCGTGAGTGGGACACAGTTTGCATCTTGGATGTTGCAGCCGCACACCATGAACTGAGTCTTGTTAGTGCTGACAGTTAACCCATAATCAGCAGCAGTCGCCTGGAATACAGAGAGTGCGAGCTGAGCACCGTCACGCGTAGTCGCCAACAAGGCTGAATCGTCGGCGAATTGGCATTCCCCAAACTTGGTCGATGTCTTTCGCGTCCTGGGCTTGCCGGACAAGTTGCCGTCAATACAATAGCGAACCTCCATGCCGACGCCAGGAACTGTCGACACTCTCCGGGACCAAACAGTGAAAACGGTCCACATGAATAGATTCAAAAGCCAGTCGCCATAGGGCACCCCTGCCTCAAGCCGTTATGTTGATGGGTTGAGTGTGTCCCTGAGATGCGCGGATTGCGGCAGACATAGATGTGTGAAAGGACTTGATGACAGCGAGGAGGGTGTCCGGTACCCCAGTACCAGCAAGTACACGCCACAAACACTCTATTTCGTGTCATGCTCGAGAGATTTCTCCACAAGTCGGCGCACAGAGAAAATCATGTCCGAGCACGACCGCCCACACCTAAAACCACACAACGAGTCTGGCAGCAGGGTCTCCGCCAGCCACTGGAGAAGTGTCTGTATGATGGCAGCCAACACCTTCTCCACAACATCCAATAGACCAATCCCGAAAGGATTGTCTGGGTTCGTGAAAGGGGGCACGCGTGCGAGCCAGTTCGTGTGAAGTGCATCGTTTTGTATTCAGTTTGTGTGGGGGGCAGCTCATGGCGGAGGTAAGAGAGACTTTTGCTCACCGGGCTGAAGCTAAAGGATTTGATGGAGTCCTGCCAGCAGCTAGTCAAAGGACCTTCGGTACCTTAGGCGGACCCTGACGAAGTTTGGAGGCCAGCCAGCTCTCGGCAAGGAGAAGAACATTCGCGTGGCGATCGACTCTCCGTAAAAAATACAAGCTACATAGCGCCGACATACTGCAACAGCTACGATTTCAACTTACTTCTCGATCTGCTGCTTCACCAAGTTCAACTATTTGCAAGTCCTGACTGTTGTAGTCTGAAGCTGGAGTCGCATCGCCCACCTACAGGTAGCTTTTGGAGCCGATGGATTTTCCGACTTGGACTTCTTCCGCAAACTCTCGCAACAGTCCTGCAGTGTATGTTGGGTTTCCGTACGCTCGTGTCGACATGTCACCTACTGTACATGTACCGGATCGCGGAGGCGGAGGAGCTTGACGAGCTCCGCTGACTCCAGGTTGCCTAGATACCGCCGTCGTCTTCGTTCTTATCGCTGGACACATTCTCTCCTTCTAGGACCTGCGCATAGTTGTCGTCCCGGGGGTAGAGACTATGTTGCCTTTCGAAATAGTTCTTCATCAAGCTCGCGCGAATGATGATTCTCCTCATGAACTCGTTCCGACGGTGTGACATGGCGATGGTCTTTGCCGGGGCACTTGCTTGGTGAAAACTCAATCTACTTGTGCACTAGAACATTGATCGGCTGCAGATGAGTACAGTCACTTCGTGGTTGGTCCAACAGGAGGAAGCCTGGCAGAAAAGCGGCAGGACTCATCGAAGACGAAGCGCTCGCAACAAACAATAGTACTCGAAATATCTCGTAAAATGTAGGGCTTATCGCTTTGAGCCACTGCGCTCACAGCCTTGCCTACTTCATCAAAGTGAGCTCTACATGTTCGTTGACCTCTTGACACTACACAGCAGAGCGAAACAAAGATTATGGCTTAGCATTTCGACTCCAACAGCAGAACATCACCAGTGCGAGAGAGAAACCCACAAAGAGCTTTGCTTTCTGTCGCATCCTCTCCCTTGCATGCAAACCGTGTACTTACCCCCGCATTCATACGCAAGCTATCAAACACGTCCTGTGCCGCATGCTGGTCAGGTGGTGCCATGCATGTATTGTACAGTGGACTCTCAGTTGATATGCCCCATTTCTAACCCAGACAATCTTTTCGGGATTGGTCTATTGTCACACAGCTGTAGGTCGCCTTTTTTGGGGATGTGTACGAGAGTAGCATCAACCCACTGCTTCGGTACCTGTCCACACATACACACACTCACACACAGATGACTTGCCAATACCCCTCCCTCCCCCCCCCCCCCCTTCTCCCCCTCCCCCCCCCCCTCGTTCCCAAACACACACACACTCACACACAAACACACACACATCGCTCACGAACACTCTTCCCCCCACCCCCGGACCCACACTCCACTTCCCAACACTCCCTGCCCCCCCCCCCCCTCCCCCTCCTATCTCCACCACACACATTGATTGCCAATACTTCCCCTTCTACATACAAACACACAACTCATTCCAACACCCCCCCCCCCCCCTTCCCTTCATGCACCCACCCATGCATCCATTGCCAACACTCCCACTCACCCCCCCCCCCCCCAAAAGACACATTTCATGTACTTGTCAATTATCCCCACCCCTCCCCTGCCCCCTCCCCCTACACACACAACTCTTGCCAAAACTTCCCCACCCGTCCTGGACCTAAGTATCCATAACGAACACTCCCCCCCCCCCCCCCACCCCATCCCCACCAGACATATTGCATGTACTGTCGTGGACATGGAAATTCAGTTGATTGCCCGGGGCCGGTGCCCTCAGTGCGTACAGAACGTCGTTGTATTCAGTTGATTGACCGGGGCCCGTGCCCTCAGTGCGCACAGAACGTCGCTGTATTCAGTTGATTGACCGGGGCCGGTCCCCTCAGTGCGTACAGAACGTCGTTGTATTCAGTTGATTGACCGGGGCCGGTGCCCTCAGTGCGTACAGAACGTCGTTGTATTCAGGTGATTGACCGGGGCCGGTGCTCTCAGTGCGTACAGAACGTCGTTGTATTCAGTTGATTGACCGGGGCCGGTGCCCTCAGTGCATACAGAACGTCGTTGTATTCAGTTGATTGACCGGGGCCGGTGCCCTCAGTGCGTACAGAACGTCGTATTCAGTTGATTGACCGAGGCCGGTGCCCTCAGTGCGTACAGAACGTCGTTGTATTCAGTTGATTGACCGGGGCCGGTGCCCTCAGTGCGTACAGAACGTCGTTGTATTCAGGTGATTGACCGGGGCCGGTGCTCTCAGTGCGTACAGAACGTCGTTGTATTCAGTTGATTGACCGGGGCCGGTGCCCTCAGTGCATACAGAACGTCGTTGTATTCAGTTGATTGACCGGGGCCGGTGCCCTCAGTGCGTACAGAACGTCGTATTCAGTTGATTGACCGAGGCCGGTGCCCTCAGTGCGGACAGAACGTCATTGTATTCAGTTGATTGACCGGGGCCGGTGCTCTCAGTGCGCACAGAACGTGGTTGTATTCAGTTGATTGACCGGGGCCGGTGCCCTCAGTGCGTACAGAACGTCATTGTATTCAGTTGATTGACCGGGGCCGGTGCCCTCAGTGCGTACAGAACGTCATTGTATTCAGTTGATTGACCGGGGCCGGTGCCCTCAGTGCGTACAGAACGTCGTTGTATTCAGTTGATTGACCGGGGCCGGTGACCCCAGTGCGTACAGAACGTCATTGTATTCAGTTGATTGACCGGGGCCGGTGCCCTCAGTGCGTACAGAACGTCGTTGTATTCAGGTGATTGACCGGGGCCGGTGCTCTCAGTGCGTACAGAACGTCGTTGTATTCAGTTGATTGACCGGGGCCGGTGCCCTCAGTGCGTACAGAACGTCGTTGTATTCAGTTGATTGACCGGGGCCGGTGCCCTCAGTGCGTACAGAACGTGGTTGTATTCAGTTGATTGACCGGGGCCGGTGCGCTCAGTGCGTACAGAACGTCGTTGTATTCAGTTGATTGACCGGGGCCGGTGCCCTCAGTGCGTACAGAACGTCGTTGTATTCAGTTGATTGACCGGGGCCGGTGACCCCAGTGCGTACAGAACGTCATTGTATTCAGTTGATTGACCGGGGCCGGTGCCCTCAGTGCGCACAGAACGTCGCTGTATTCAGTTGATTGACCGGGGCCGGTGACCCCAGTGCGTACAGAAAGTCATTGTTTTCAGTTGATTGACCGGGGCCGGTGCCCTCAGTGCGCACAGAACGTCGCTGTATTCAGTTGATTGACCGGGGCCGGTGACCCCAGTGCGTACAGAACGTCATTGTATTCAGTTGATTGACCGGGGCCGGTGCCCTCAGTGCGCACAGAACGTCGCTGTATTCAGTTGATTGACCGGGGCCGGTGACCCCAGTGCGTACAGAACGTCATTGTATTCAGTTGATTGACCGGGGCCGGTGCCCTCAGTGCGCACAGAACGTCGCTGTATTCAGTTGATTGACCGGGCCGGTGACCCCAGTGCGTACAGAACGTCATTGTATTCAGTTGATTAACCGGGGCCGGTGCCCTCAAAGCGTACAGAACGTCATTGTATTCAGTTGATTGACCGGGGCCGGTGCCCTCAGTGCGTACAGAACGTCGTTGTATGCTGTACACATGTGAGCCAGAGCGCGCTAAAACATGACCACAGCATTTTTTGAAAAAGTCGAGAAAATCGCGATTTGAATTCCGCGGCAAAAAATACGAAGTGCAGTGCAACGCGAGTCGCTGTTGTTGTTCTCCTCGGTCGACTGGACTGTTCCGGATGCATTTCTTTGTTGCAAGTAAGTAGTTTATTTGTTTGAGTTTGTATTCCATGTTGCGCTGAGTCGCCTAAAACTGATCGTCATCGATGTATCGACGGAACAGCCTAGTAGTAGTAATGTACTGCGGAGCGGAAGAAGACGACATCCTCGCACTCCATGCGCAGGATAAATATTTTGAGGATTCGGGTCGGAAACAGAAGGAAGACGATGATGGCTACAGCGACGAGTCATTTGTGGGCGACACTTTCATCGAGCGTAAAAGGATTGATGCTGGTAGTCCCACGATCTGCAGTGACGAGGAATTCTACTCTGATGACAACCTGGCAAGCGATTGGCATCGACACTGACTTGGGAGGTGAGTCGGCCGATGATTTGGGCAGAATGGACATCGCTGCACATATCCGGGACAATGCCAGTATTGGTTGCAAGTGCAAAAACAATCAATGGACTCTGCTGCTCCCTCAACTTGCTCAAGTCGATAATTTGAGTACTCTTATGCGGAACATCGTTAGCACAAGCAGTAGGAAGCGAAAGCAGTACTCTCTGGCGAGCGAAGAAAACTGTGTGCAAGATGGGCTTTGGTGTGGGGAATATGAGTGCGACGTCTAGTATGTTGAGGAACACTGTGTGCAGCAGTGTATACTGTATAGATATAATGTGTGTTTGATCATTTTTGAACAAAAACTGAAAATCAAAATTTTTGGTCTGTGGTCGTATTTTAGCGTGCTCTGGCTCATGTAGTGTTGATCCGATTCGACCAGCGCACTACAATTATGTGTGTACTGTTTACCCACGGCTGCATGGCCTGCGCCCTAGGGCCGCTAGAAGTGCGACCGGATTTCAATGTTCATGACAGTACTTGACAATTATCCCCCCCCCCTCCTCCCCCCCCCCCCTACACACACAATTCTTGCCAACATCCTCTCTTCCCTCCTGCACCCACACATGCATACATTACCAACACTCCCACCCCCCCCCCCCTCCACCAGACACATTACATGTACTTGTCAATCACCCCCCCCCCCCATCCCCCCCCCCTCCCGTCCTCCCCCTACACACACCACTCTTGGCAATACCACCACCCTACCCGTCCACCACCATCTAATGTAAGTCTAAAAAGTTTCGGTGCGTTTAAATATCGGCCTCCCAGGGCTAAAACCTATTTTTGACACATTAACCTCTTTAGCGCGAGCGTCGTACTAGTACGACACACTAGTACGACGCACACGAGTTGCATGCCCCACGACCGTCGTTCTAGTACGACGCGTGCTGTACACTGTACAGTGAACCTGCGTCTCATAGTCGTGGGGTCCGTGTTGAGTCCATAGTGACTTGTTCAAACTATCGTAACTTACTCAAAACTTGGTCGATTCTCACAATCGAAACATATATCTGCAAGAGAAAACTTTCAGCTGGCGATAGAAACAATCGCCGAAGCGATACCACTACCGGTTGTTGAGATATGCAACTCGACAGGGCAAATTTCAACTAGATTTTTTTGCGCAGTCTGCAGAACGCGTATTTCCATTATGGATCATGTTTGCGCTACCTACTGCCATTGAAACAAGATTCAAATAATGCTAGTGGATCCCGTGAATGTCAACAAATAAATTTGAGCTCCATACGAGCAAGGAGACCGAAATGGCAGCTGAATATTTGAGCTCAGTTAGTCTTCGCCGTGCTAAAGTCTGTTGAGCGCGTGCATGAAGTTTTCCAGACTTTAGAACGGGGTTTTGGTTTCTCTCGGAGCTGGGTTTGACACCAGTTTGTCTCTCGTCTCGAGACCTTTCCAGGAAGCTCAAGATCGTGGAATTCGTCCAAGGGAAGGTAAGGTTATCGATCCTTGAACAAACGGCGAGGAGACAACAATTTGATAACCGCAATCAGTAATACAAGCTGGATCGACATTTGTGTACACTGTATTCATGTATTGTAAAACTGTGGAGACAATGTGCAATAAAACGATGAAAATGTGAAGAAATGGTGTAGAGTAAATGAGGATTCAAACAAGTTTTCGTGCAACACTCATCAGGAATCTTCGTTGTACTAAAGGACACTGAAAACAAAATTGAACTATTATAGAAAATCTAAGTTAGAGAAATAACACTAAGAACAACAGCAGTGACATTTACAAGTGTGAATTTTAACAATGAAAGCGAGAGCAATAACGAATGTGTGTACTAACACTAAACTTGCAACTGAAAAAGTGAACAAAGAAGAGAAAGAAGGAAGGAAGGACAAAGTGATAACTTTTTCAGTTGCAAGTTTAGTGTTAGTACACACATTCGTTATTGCTCTCGCTTTCATTGTTAAAATTCACACTTGTAAATTTCACTGCTGTTGTTCTTAGTGTTATTTCTCTTACTTAGATTTTCTATAATAGTTCAATTTTGTTTTCAGTGTCCTTTAGTACAACAAAGATTCCTGATGAGTGTTGTACGAAAACTTGTTTGAATCCCTTTCTTTCTCTACACAATTTCTTCACATTTTTCATCGTTTTATTGCACATTGTCTCCACAGTTTTACAATACATGAATACAGTGTACACAAATGTCGATCCATCTTGTATTACTGATTGCGGTTATCAGATCCTTGAACAGCTAGAACTTTCATTGGAAAATGCGACTTTTACATGTGTTGACATCGGCGCGTTCAGGTACTGTCGTGCTAAAGAGGTTATCATTTCAGCCTATACTGCTGCTGCCTGTCTACACTGTCACACTGAACCTTGCAAAACTAAATTACAGCCGCAACAAATTTAACACCAAAAATTCCCAGGCCGAAAATAGGTGAAAATACTTCCTCCGCGTCATCGAAATTGTCGCAGCGACAACTCAATAAGCTAAACCATACAAATATTATTACACAGTATGATAGTCTGAAGGCTAGAGTAACGTTCCAGAACAGTTGGACTGAGAGTTTCACGTGGAGGTCAAGGCCTCGTCGTCGCTGATGTCAATGGCCGCAAAAATATTGTTACGAAAAATTTCCAGGAAGGTTGTAAGTTGGTCGCCCCTCATCTCAAACGTTTTGACTTTCTCCACAGGACAAGAGCTGCTGTGCTTGTCGTCTACTAGCTCTGGACGATTTCTACTTCACCGCCAACGAATTGAGAATACACGATCGTTGCAAGGTCGGTTGATTACCGTCGGCGGAATCACCTCGATGTTGAACGAACTTTTTTTATCAGTGGCATACTGTCTTTTTCAGCATCACTGTACACGACACCTGCGCGTGCATCACCAGCACTACACGTAGAGTCTACACGGCTCTTGCAGGTACAATCATGTACTAAGTGTCCCAGACAGAGCGACACATTTTATCGCTCTTGCATGCATTTAGTTTGCTGACCCCTCAATGTTTCTCCAAGCGCTGCGGCTTGTTCCACGAAGTCATTCTCACCCCAGCTAAGGTAAAACAGTGATGAGGCTTTGAGTGAATGGCTATAAGCACTAGAAATGTGCAGGCTGCAACGCCTGGCTGATGTCAGCGAGTCAAATGTACCATCGCAGCGACATCAGCGAAGAAATTGCATCTAGTTAAAAAAAATGAGCTCCCAATAACAGATAATAGAACTTTGCCGTCACCCTATACTGATGACTATTGCCTATGTCTGATTTCTTACCTGGGTTACGACTGCTGGTGAGTAAATACCCTGTTTTATATCAAAAATCAAACAGCGACAATTTCGATGACGCGGAGGAAGTATAAGTGTTCATTTACAGTATAGCGGCATACACATTTCCTCATGAAATCAGTGTTGTTCTTAGCTTACCCGTGGTCGAGGTGTCTTTACATCGCAGCCAAACGGACAACAGGAGTATCCATACTGACATTCTTCTTCGTGTTTCTGCAGTAAATCAATATCATGATTCACACACACACTAGCTGAACTTATCCCTGTCCACAAAGTGCTCAAAGCCCGGAAGGACTGACATTCCTTACATGTAAGGTGGAACAAAATTATATTGTAACTCCGAGTTTCACGCTTGACCGATCATCAGGCAACAAACACGTATTATCTAACACGGTATGGGGTTTTGAATGAATGCCTGATGATCGCACAAACAAGAAAGGAACTCGGAGTTGGAATAAAATGTTCTGCCACCATGTTTGTCATTCTTCACACATACATGTACATCTACATATAGCTGTACACACATATTTACTCAGATATTTACTCAATACCTAACTAGCATAATCACCAGTCTAAAGCTATGCACCATCAATCATCATCACTTGTACCTACTAACACTGAAAAGCAGCTTACAACATAGTCTCTGAGGCTACCACTCCATTCACATGGCCCCGAATCACACTTGACCGTTTGCTCTTCCAGCTCATTTGCCAAGTCTTTCTCATCCACCAGCTGAGAAAACAGAAACAGGAAATGAGTCAGGTAAGCATTAGGGGAGCAAGTCATGTGATTGCTACCATGTAGACATCCAATCAAAGGGATGGAGAGTGAGAATGCAGTATCTATGGTTAGTTGAATCAGGTCCACTGCTCTAACCATGGCTATCTGTCTAATACAGGATTATACCTGCGATGGGTGAGTTTAATATTCATATTGTCAAATACTAGGACTTGACAATCATTGCCTCTACTTTCTCGTTCCACATATACTGGCACACACAGAGACATAAACAGCAATAGCGACACTACACAAAGTGAAGGGTAGTTGGCCGCAGCCAGATGTGAACCGGATAACGAGTGAGGTATGGAAGCAAGGACTGAGAACAGAGCGTCTCAGATAGAATAGGCGTGCCAGTGAATAGCAGGAATAGGCCATGATGCAGAACCACTTGGTACCGTCAGATTAATTTTTCTGGACCGAGCCAGCCGGGAAAAAACCCTCGCACTGACGTACGCAGTTGTAAGGGAAAATATCGGGTGTATACCAGTACAACGGGGGATTGCAAACTGCTATCCCAGAACAACGGGGGATTGCAAACTGCTATCCCAGTACAACAGGGGATTGCAAACTGCTATCCCAGTACAACGGGGGATTGCAAACTGCTATCCCAGTACAACGGGGGATTGCAAACTGCTATACCAGTGCAACGGGGGATTACAAACTGCTATCCCAGTACAATGGGGGATTGCAAACTGCTATCCCAGTACAACGGGGGATTGCAAACTGCTATCCCATTACAACGGAGGATTGCTACAACGGGGGATTTCAAACTGCTATCACAGTACAACGGGGGATCGGAAACTGCTATCCCAGTACAACTGGGGATTGCTATACCAGAAGCTGTGGAGGAAGCATACTGCTGCTACACTTCAACGCGGGAATGAGTATAATAATAATAATAATACCAGAACAACGAGGGATTGCAAACTGCTACACCAGTACAACGGGGATCGTAAACTGCTATACCAGTACATCGGGGGATTGTAAACTGCTACACCAGTACAACGGGGGGTTGCAAACTGCTATACCAGTACAACGGGGGATTGCAAACTGCTATCCCAGTACAATGGGGGATTGCAAACTGCTATCCCAGTACAAAGGATGATTGCAAACTGCTTTCCCAGTACAACGGGGGATTGCAAACTGCTATCCCAGTACAACGGGGGATTGCAAACTGCTATACCAGTACAACGGGGGATTGTAAATTGCTATACCAGTACAACGGGGGAATGCAAACTGCTATACCAGTACAACGGGGGATTGCAAACTGCTATCCCAGTACAACAGGGGATTGCAAACTGCTATACCAGTAAAACGGGGAATTGCAAACTGCTATACCAGTACAACGGGGGATTGCAAACTGCTTTCCCAGTACAACGGGAGATTGCAAACTGCTATACCAGCACAAAGGGGGTATTGTAAACTGCTATCCCAGTACAACGGGGGTTTGCAAACTGCTATCCCAGTACAACGGGGATTGCAAACTGCTATCCCAGTACAGCGGGGGATTGCAAACTGCTATACCAGTACAACGGGGATTGCAAACTGCTATACCAGTCCAACTGGGTATTGTAAACTGCTATCCCAGTACAACGGGCGTTTGCAAACCGCTATCCCAGTACAACGGGGGATTGCAAACTGCTATCCTAGTACAACGGGGGGTTGCAAACTGCTATACCAGTACAACGGGGATTGCAAACTGCTATACCAGTACAACGGGGGATTGCAAACTGCTATCCCAGTACAACGGGGGATTGCAAACTGCTATCCCAGTACACCGGGGGTTTGCAAACTGCTATCCCAGTACAACGGGGGATTGCAAACTGCTATACCAGTACAACGGGGAATTGCAAACTGCTATACCAATACAACGGGGGATTGCAAACTGCTATACCAGTACAACTGGGGATTGTCAACTGCTATCCCAGTACAACGGGGGATTGCAAACTGCTATCCGAGTACAACGGGAGATTGTAAACTGCTAAACCAGTACAACGGGGGATTGTGAACTGCTATCCCAGTACAACGGAGGATTGCAAACTGCTATACCAGTACAACGGGGGATTGTAAACTGCTATCCCAGTACAACGGGGGATTGCAAACTGCTATCCCAGTACACGGGGGGTTTGCAAACTGCTACCCCAGTACAACGGGGGGATTGTAAACTGCTATCCCAGTACAACGGGGGATTGCAAACTGCCATACCAGTACAACGGGGGATTGCAAACTGCTATACCAGTACAACGGGGGATTGCAAACGGCTACCCCAGTACAACGGGGGATTGCAACCTGCTATACCAGTACAACGGGGGATTGCAAACTGCTATCCCAGTACAACGGGGGATTGGAAACTGCTATACCAGTACAACGGGGGATTACAAACTGCTATCCCACTACAGCGGGGCATTGCAAACTGCTATCCCAGTACAACGGGGGATTGCAAACTGCTATCCCAGTACAACGGGGGATTGCAAACTTCTATCCTAGTACACCAAGGGTTTGCAAACTGCTATCCTAGTACAACGGGGGATTGCAAACTGCTATCCCAGTACAACGGGGGATTGCAAACTGCTATACCAGTACAACGGGGGATTGTAAACTGCTACACCAGTACAACGGGGGATTGCAAACTGCCATCCCATACAACGGGGGATTGCAAACTGCTATACCAGTTCAACGGGGGATTGCAAACTGCTATCCCACTACAACGGGGGATTGCAAACTTCCATCCCAGTACACCGGGGGTGTGCAAACTGCTATCCCAGGACAACGGGGGATTGCAATCTTCTATCCTAGTACACCGGGGGTTTGCAAACTACTATCCTAGTACAACGGGGGATTGCAAACTGCTATCCCAGTACAACGGGGGAATGCAAACTGCTATCCCAGTAAAACGGGGGATTGCAAACTGCTATACCAGTACAACGGGGGATTGCAAACTGCTATACCAGTACAACGGGGGATTGCAAACTGCTATACCAGTACAACGGGGAATTGCAAACTGCTATCCCAGTACAACGGAGGATTGCTACAACGGGGGATTGCAAACTGCTATCCAAGTACAACGGGGGATCTGAAACTGCTATACCAGTACAACTGGGGATTGCTATACCAGAAGCTGTGGACGCAGCATACTGCTGCTACACTTCTACGCGGGAATGCGTATAATAATAATAATAATACCAGTACAACGAGGGATTGCAAACTGCTATACCAGTACAAGGGGGAATCATAAACTGCTATACCAGTACATCGGGGGATTGTAAACTGCCATACCAGTACAACGGGGGATTGCAAACTGCTATCCCAGTACAACGGGGGATTGCAAACTGCTATCCCAGTACAATGGGGGATTGCAAACTGCTATCCCAATACAACGGGGGATTGCAAACTGCTATCCCTGTAAAACGGGGGATTGCAAACTGCTATACCAGTACAACGGGGGATTGCAAGCTGCTATCTCAGTTCAACGAGGGATTGCAAACTGCTATACCAGTACAACGGGGGATTGCAAACTGCTATCCCAGTACACCGGGGGATTGCAAATTGCTATACCAGTCTAACGGGGGATTGCAAACTGCTATCCCAGTACAACGGGGGATTGCAAACTGCTATACCAGTACAACGGGGGATTGCAAACTGCTATACCAGTACAACGGGGGATTGCAAACTGCTATACCAATACAACGGGGGATTGCAAACTGCTATACCAGTACAACGGGGGATTGCAAACTGCTATACCAGTAAAACGGGGGGATTGCAAACTGCTATCCCACTACAACGGGGGATTGCAAACTGCTATCCCAGTACAACGGGGGATTGCAAACTGCTATTCCAGTACAACGGGGGATTGCAAACTGCTATACCAGTACAACGGGGGATTGCAAACTGCTATCCCAGTACAACAGGGGACTCCAAACTGCTATACCAGTCAAACGGGGGATTGCAAACTGCTATACCAGTACAACGGGGGATTGCAAACTGCTATCCCACTACAACCGGGGATTGCAAACTGCTATCCCAGTACAACGGGGATTGCAAACTGCTATCCAAGTACAACGGGGGATTGCAAACTGCTATACCAGTACAACAGGGGGATTGCAAACTGCTATACCAGTACAACGGGGGATTGCAAACTGCTATACCAGTACAACGGGGGATTGCAAACTGCAATACCAGTACAACGGGGGATTGCAAACTGCTATACCAGTACAACGGGGGATTGCAAACTGCTGTCCCAGTGCAACGGGGGATTGCAAACTGCTTTACCAGTACGACGAGGGGGTTGCAAACTGCTATACCAGTACAACGGGGGATTGCAAACTGCTATACCAGTACCACGGGGATTGCAAACTGCTATACCAGTACAACGGGAGATTGCAAACTGCTATACCAGTACAACGGGGGATTGCAAACTGCTATACCCGTACAACGGGGGATTGCAAACTGCTGTCCCGGTACAACGGGGGATTGCAAACTGCTGTCCCAGTTCAACGGGGGATTGTAAACTGCTATACCAGTACAACGGGGGATTGCAAACTGCTATGCCAGTACAACGGGGGATTGCACACTGCTATCCCACTACAACCGGGGATTGCAAACTGCTATCCCAGTACAACGGGGATTGCAAACTGCTATCCAAGTACAACGGGGGATTGCAAACTGCTATACCAGTACAACAGGGGGATTGCAAACTGCTATACCAGTACAACGGGGGATTGCAAACTGCTATACCAGTACAACGGGGGATTGCAAACTGCAATACCAGTACAACGGGGGATTGCAAACTGCTATACCAGTACAACGGGGGATTGCAAACTGCTGTCCCAGTGCAACGGGGGATTGCAAACTGCTTTACCAGTACGACGAGGGGGTTGCAAACTGCTATACCAGTACAACGGGGGATTGCAAACTGCTATACCAGTACCACGGGGATTGCAAACTGCTATACC